TTATTTCTTCAGTACTTTTTCAGTTCTTTCCTCTTTCATTTTCCCTTCTCTGTCTTTGAGAACATGAATGTTAGTGCTTTTATTATGAGTTCATAAGTTCCTGAAGCTCTGATTTTTTTTCAGTCTATGTGTATATCGTTCATATTGGATCATTTTTTGTGTTCTCTCCTCCAGTTCAGTGATTCTTTTCTTTGTCCTCTCATTTCTCTTGTTAGACCCATCCACTGGGCTTTTTGTTTCAGTTATTGTGGTTTTCAGTTTAAAAACTTTCACATCTTCATTATATATTCTGTGTTTTCCATCTTCTCAGAAGCAGAAGTTTCCCTCTTTTGTTTCCAGTTATATCTGCTATTCTATATTTTTAGTAATGCCCATAAAATGTTATTTGTTACATGATAAATTTTATGATAGACTCTGTTCCCTATTCATCTATATGGTGATATGTAAATGGCTTTGTGAACATAATACTCTGCTTCCAGGTCACCCAATTCAAGAATCCACTATTGGATAATCAGTAATCTGTAACTGGATCTACATCAATTCCAAGTGCTGTTGTATGTTTTAATAGTATTTTAAAATTGTTTAATTTAATAGATTTTTCAGTGAATCCTTGCAATTAGTTATATAAATCATTGCCTTTCTTTTCGGTTCAATGAATTCAACAAATATTTAGTAACTACTAGTTTATATCACAAAATGTAGTATCCATAAGTCTTTCAGTAAATAGTAATAAACATGTTTACCAGCATATCTACTTTAAAATTCTTAAAAACTTAAGTTGTCTCACTGTATAACAAAGAAATTGTTATTCTCTCTGAAATTCAACAAGTTGTCTCTTTGAACTAAATCAACTGCCATAGCAGAGGAAGCAAATCAATGGAATCACTAGACTGATTTATCATTCTCCTCACTCACACTCTTAACCATTCTGAATATATTTTCTTCTCTCTGTACATCAGTCAGAATTTAAACCTATTGCATCATAAGCTGATTTTCTCAAAAATAAGCAAGGAGGTCAACTATTATTTTCTTGAAAAGATCTTAGCAAATTAATTGATGCAGTAAATTAGGAAGTAAGAACAAACACTGTGCTCAATAAAGAGAGCACATACTTTTACTTTTCATACTTGCTTTGATTTTATTTATTTAATTCAGTAAAACAAGCCAAACCTGCCCTTTTTTTAAAGAATGATTTAAGAATGTTATCAGTAAGTGAATAAAGGTTGAGAAACTCGTTTACTTCTTTTAATTCATGAAAAACCTGTGGAAACAGGCAACTGTTTTTCAGCAAAGTATTTATAAAATGTCTGAGTGTTGTATAAGATTATGTACAAGGTCAACTATATACAAATCACTTCTTTTAAAACTTATACAGGTATGAATGCCTATGCCTACCCAGTTATTGTGCTAGATATTTTTCCACATAATAGATCACTTTATCTCTTTCTCATATGAACTCCATGAGTTTGTTCTCAGTGTTTTAGAGTAAAGGAAATTAATATTCAGGGAGTAAAGTATTTTCTTAAGGTCACACAGAGTGAATGACAAGACTGAAATTTAAACCTACATTTTCTAAATCCAACCCAACATCATTTCATCAATACCAAGGTCAGCATTCTTGACATATTAGACTGGGTAATTCTTTGTTGTGAAAGTGTGTCCTCTCCATTAGAGGATGCTTAGCAGGCCCTCCAACCTTCACCCACTAAATGATAGTAGTAGTATCCCTGTGATTGGAACAATTGAAAATGTTCTCTGATAGATGGAAGTACTGCCAGCTAAGAACTACTTGTCCGCATTTCTGAGATCTCACTTCTAAATTCTAATCTAAAATTTTCTATCCAATTAAAATAAATAGCTTACATAGGATACACAATTGATTGAGCAAATATTATTAAATAAATGAAATATAAGCAATAGAGTATGTATAAATTTTAGGATGGTAAATAAAATGATATCATGTAAGACTTGATTAATACTTGGTCATAGGGGACAAGACAGGAAGTCAGGAAAAGTAGCAAAACTTGATATTAATAGGAAAGTATCAGGTGCAAGAATAAGCTAAAACCACATGAGACATGACATAAAAACTGAGAATGAGTTCAAAAACCAGGTAAGCAGTGAGGTTGAGGAGAACATAAATATTTACAAGGAAAATATGTAAGCAGGTCATAAATCTGATAGTTTCTCAATATTTGAAGCTAAAGCAGTATAGAGAGTCAGGGGACAGGATTTTAATCAAAGCCACAGACATGAGACAATAGATTCATGTTTCAGAATTAAGAAAAAAAAAAACTGACACAGAATCCACTACAGAAAGGAATCTGTTACATGTTACTTACTGGAGTAGTGTCCATTGGAGGGCATTTTCTACCTTGACCTTCCTTTGGATTTATTATAGTGAGCAGCATAGTAGATGAGTTAGTCTTAATTGGTATGAATTATAATAATATGAACTATTACAAAGTAAAAGTATTTTAAAGCCTCACTTTCTGTACTAAATTAGAAATATTAAATTCATTGAGATCATATAATTTTAAAACTGGAAGTGAAAATTGAAACTTTGTTTATATTACTCCAAAAATTTTGTGATGAATAAAAATATTGTGAATATTGTATAAGCCAATTATTAGACATGCTTTGAACTTCTGAGAGTAATTAAATGATTTTTCTGCTGTTTTATCATTTTCTTACTATAACTTAAAATATATTCCAACATGATTTAAGTGCTGGTAAGTTGGAATGCTATTGCTGTGATAAAAAATGCATGGGGGGGGGGGTGGTTGGGATTGTGACTTAGCATTAGAGTGCTCTCCTAGCATGGGCAGTTCGATCCTCAGCACCACATAAAAATAAAGGCATTGGGTTGTATCCATCTACACCAAAAAAATAAATATTTTTTAAAAATGCATCTGAAAATAAGTAACTTTGGAAAGAGATTAAATGTTATAAGAAAATGTTATAGGACTTCCTGAATAAGGCTAACCAGTGGGTCCCTAATGTCAGTTTAAGAAAAGCTCTCTGAGGGAAAAATAGCACTAAAGCAAAAATGTGCTTCAATTGTTATAGATTTATATATACTGGAAACATATTCTTTCTACTTTACCTTTATTTCTATAGGGAAATGTCCTTAGAATTATAAACATCCTAATTTATTATAGTTCTTAAGAAATGCATTCTTCCTATAAAATAAATTTAGCCTATATAAATGGAATATTAATATGTTAGCAATGGGAAGTATATCACAACAAGAAATTGAAAAAAAAGTTGACAATTATTACAAATTCTGAGGAGGAAAAGAGTATGATCCAAGAGAAACTAACAAAGAGGAAATATCAAAATTTAGATTTGAAGAATCACAGTGGCTTCTGAGGAAGTGGTGTTTATGCTGCAATTTAATAGATGAATAGGAGTTTGTCCTATTTTGCATTTTCTTCTTTGCTAGAAGGGTTAGGGCTGATTCAATTGCTTGCCTTTCTTTGTTTCAGTTTTTTCATCAAGAAATTAGAAATATTATTGAGACTCTTCACACAGGTGTTATCAGGTTTAGTGAGTTAAAAATATGTAATTTATTATTTTTAGAATTTTTTTCTGAGTGCAATGAGATGCTATTGCAGAATTTTAAGTTATCTTTTTGAAAAAAAAATCATTCCAACTATTGCTTCTGTCTAAGAAAGTTTTGGTGAAAATTTAAAGGTTCCCAAGGCATTGTGAATGATGAGTAGCTTTTTTTTTTTTTAACAGCTTGAGAGTAAAGGATCTAATCACATGTCCATCTGCAAATCATTCTAGTTTTATATGTACTAGCCAAGTGACCAGAGTTTAGCAACAGTCTCTCTTCTTCGGGACTAATTTGAATCTTGAAATGATTTCTTTTGATATGCTAACTGTCCTGGTTTCATGTCCATTTTATTTCTGTGTGACACCTACTCCAAACTGAGACCACTATAAAGGCTCGTGGGTAACTTAAAAGAAGAAATTTATAATCACTTTAGTTTGAAGAGTTTTAAATATCAGAATGTATATTAAGCCAGTGCTAAAGTTCACTGACTAGCTTTTTGCAGATTTAAGAATTATATTGCTTTCTTTCACATTATCAACCTGTATTATATAGTTAGGTTGTTGTAGTTCAAGTCTCCAATTGACAGTTCCTTTGTATGCATATACTGAAATGATTTTATTTAATAAAAAAAGAACATCTCCTGTGTGGATTTTAAATTTCCCTTATTAAATATTTATATTTTCAAAATGTCTTTATTTAATTGAGTGAGGTGCTTGGTGCCATTTCCAAATAACCTCAGGTGGTAGGTGTAATGACATATCAAAGATTTGACCTTTAGCATTTTAGGATTCTATTTATCTGCATTTTCTTCTGCATTCATTTAGTCTTGATTTATATGCTATTCCTCTGGATGATTTAATGAGTGAATGTATTTGGCCCAAGATTCATTAATCATAAAAATATATATCTGAATACATATTATTTCTGTGCCTTCATTTATATCTCAACTGTGACAAGTAGAAAATTCTGTGTATAAGGTTGATCAGTATTTGCACAAACCTCATTCATTCTCATTAAGTGCTTAGCAGAATAGACCCTGATCCCCTAAACTGATGCCCATTCTCCTACTTCTCACTTCTTTGCAGTCAGCTTATTATATTCCTTTATTTACCTAGAGATACTTTATTTTCCAATTCTCTGCTATTCCTTTTAAAGAAAATTGAATGTAATATTTACACTGATATAATTAAATTAACATCTTCCAGCATCTTTCTGTGTGCTTTGCTAGCATAGATAATCATTTACTGGGTAGCTTTCAGCGTAGAAGCAGAGTTATAGAATAATTATTAATTATTTTATATCACAATGTTATTTTCATTTGTGCATGTTTTTCTGTATTGATTTTGAGAAGTAAAGATTCTAAGTGGAGTTAAGGAAATGGATCATTGATCAGTTAGCCTATGTTACTTATATTTAAATTATTTTTGTATTTTCTCAGTTTACACAAATCTTTATCTCAAGAAGAAAACCTGAAGGATCAATTTAACCATACACTTAGTACTTATGAAGAAGCTTTAAAAAACAGAGAGAACATTGTTTCCATCACTCAACAACAGAATGAGGAACTTGCTACCCAACTGCAGCAAGCTCTGACAGAGCGAGCAAACATGGAATTACAGCTTCAGCGTGCCGTAGAGGACTCCCAAGTGGCCAGTGAAAAGGTTCAGAAGTAAGTAAAATGTTCTTTCATATTTTATAAACATAAAAACACTTTCTTCTGAAAATAAGCAATATATAATTATTGTTCATGCCATTTGTAGTTCAAGTCAAAAGTAGAACCAAATGAACTATTTCACATTGTGTATCATAAACATATTTAGGGTCAAAAAGTCACTTGCTTGGCAATAGTTGTTACTATTTAGGACAAAACATTTATTTTTGATAACTGATCTACATTAGTTTGTGGAGGCCACATTATTGAAATCATTCCATCCTCCCAAGTTGATAGGCAAAGTTATTTGTAAGAGGAAGAGGCAGTCAAGTTACTACCTGCACTCATTTAGCTTCACAATAATCCTGCTGGAGTTGAGATCATCTGTGACCTTGCAATTTGAGACCTCTAGATGCAGTGAATCCAGTACAGTGAAATTAATTTTCTTGTGTTGTTCTTCTGAAGTATTCAATGCTACTATTCACAGCGCATAATTACATTTGTTTATTTTGAATGATCTTTCCATTTTTTATTAAAATTTAAATAAAGCTGCATAATCAGTCAGTCTTTATGACAGCTAGCAGAATGTTAACAACTTACCAAGCAAAGAAGTCACTTGTTAATTTATGGGGCTTGAATGTTGTAGCAGAATTTTCTGAGGAAGCTTTAATGTAATAAAACTTGTCATTTTAACCTTCTTTGTGTGTTGTTAACAACATAACATCATTCACTTACCTAATCACCTTCAATTTCTAACACATACCTTTTCCTTAATCTTTTTTTCAGTTTTATACTATGAAGTAATACTTACTTGCTTTAAGGTTTCTTACTTTCTGTGACTTCTTATTTGAAAATTAGTCATTTCAACTACTTCCTTAACATCTCTGAAGTTATATTTCAATTAAAGAGCCCAAAGTCAGGTGAATCTGTAGTCAAGACCATTTTTCAAACAGTTTAGGGATTATGCATATTAATATTTACTACCTATGTACCTTGTAGCTTTTGATTTATATAAGTATTATATTTTGTAAGTTTAAAGATTAGGTTTATATTCGATCAGAAACTATCTAGTTTTTTACAATGTGCACTAACAGTCTAAGAACACTGATGTGTAGATGGATCTCACTTCATCATATATTGCAATTAGTAACTGGACTATCAGGATCTGATTTAGTTCTGTTAGCTAAAAGTCTATAAATAATACAAATTTCAAAGTTTTCTTTACATATAATCTTTTAATATCTATCCATGACTAAAATTCCTTGAAATAGGTCCCAGAAACCAATTCAGTTTTCAAAAAAACTTTGGAAATCTTGCTAACTTTTTATTTTTTAGAACCTATCAACTATCATTATCATTAACTTTTTGCACACCAAGAAGTAGAACATTATTTTAGATAAGACTTGAATTGTAATAAATATAACTGTTGAATGGACTCATTATATCATCCTATTTTGCATACTTAATCACAGAAAGAAAAACTTTTTTTTGTCCATGGATCAAAGTCTAAGTACAACAGCCATGTCATTCACAAATGTTAAATGTTAAATCTTTTATTCTGATTTCCAACAAGACATAGGAGAAATATTATCACACTTTTCTTTTTATATTCAATTCATTGTACTTCATTTTAGTTTGCATCAATTAAACAAAGTATATCTTCATCCCAGTTAATGTGGCCATCAGTCCTTTATTGTTTAAAAAGGAAGTTATCCTCTAAAAAGAAACTATAATAAGATTTTGGGGGCTGGGGATGTGAGCTCAGTGTTATAATGCTTGCCTAGCACATGTGAGGCCTTGGGCTTGATCCCCCGCACTGAGAGAGAGAGAGAGAGAGAGAGAGAGAGACAGTCACTGACTTTGTAAGAAAGTATTCTCCATACAATCAAAAATTACTACTGTTAGCATACATTTTTTGGACGTTCCCTTGAAAATATGTAATATTCCAGGAAATTTCAAATTTAAACTAAAGAGGTCCATATTTCCTCTTTTCCCTTTGCAACCAAATTTTTTGAATACCTAATCTATCTCTAATTTTTTTAATTCCCATTTATTCCTCTTCTTTTCATTACTCTGGCTAACTTTTATGCTAAAATTGTTCTTTCAATATCACAAATAGTTTCCTAACTCCTAAATCAAGGACCCATTTTAAACCACATTTTTATCATACAACTAATACATGATTATGGTAAAAATAAATGAAGTTCTTATATCTTCAGCAGTATTAACTCCTGCCTTGGATTACAAATGTGTATATTTGAACTTGGGTATTTTATTTTTAAATGCTGTGTTAATTTGGATAGTTACACAACTGTCACATAACATTACTGTAAGCATTAGCTGAAATAATATAAGCAGCACTTTTAGAACAATGTGTGTTATATATCCCCTCCTTCTTTTGCATATCTCCTCCTTCTCTGGTCATCTCCCTCCGTGCTACACTCATTGCTCAGAGGGGATGTACATTTTTCAAGATTAAATGTCTTTGCATGTGTTGATCCCTTTGCTCAGAGTCTTTTACTTTCTCCCCAATGAGAACCTTATTCATTTTGTGAAAGTCAGTTCACCATAGAGGACAGAAAACAGGCTTTGTTGTCAAGTCTGAAAGTCCTGGCTTTGAATCTCTACTTTCCTACTTATTACATGTGAAATTTTTACTTAAGTAAAAGTTCCTCAGATAAACTCAGTAATTCTGCCTTCACAGGAAGGGTTCTCATGAGGAAGAAATTGAATATCATATGCAATGCCTAGTGCAGTGCCAGTATTTATTAAAAGCAATCTATAAATGACATTATTTGTATTGTGATATTCATCAAAAAAGCAAAACCAGTTCAATTACATCTTTTCTGCTAAGTCTTTTCCAACTTCCTAGAAAGTAAATTCACTCCCTTCCATGTTTGTCATAGTATTGGAGCAGGGGGCATTAGTGTATTATTAGAAGCCATTCCAGTCAACAGTACACTCATTTAGTTGGACCTTATAACCTGTTGCCATGCCCAAAGATAGTTACTGTACTTTATTATTTATACGTTTATATGTCTTCCTACTAGATTGTGCATACCTTGAGAGTAGGAAACATCCTAAAATTTTACATGATGAATGCTTTATGAATATTGTTTGGAAAACAAGAAGAGAGACAGAAAGCTTATGTTCTAAAGTCTAGGGATTACATCAATGTTAAGACATGTTAAGACCATGTGATATGATCACAGAATATTATTTTAAGACTTTTATTTTACTACTTTTCTGTCCATTTCTACTCCATTTCTTTTAAGGAATATATCTGCCAGCTATCCCAAAGTAATGATTCTTTTTTTTTTTTTAATGGAACTGGGGATTGCACCCAGAGTAATCTACCACTGAGGCACATCCCCAGCCCTTTCTATTTTATTTTGAGACAGGATTCCACCAAGTTGCCCAGGCTGGCCTTGAATTTGTGATCTCCTTGCCTTATCCTGCAGTCATGGGTATTGCGGACATCTGCCACTGTGCCTGGCCCTACACGATTTCTCTAAAGATTATTGCTACATAATTCTTAGGAAATGTTATCCATTTCCATAAGCTTAACCCACTACCTATTAGCCAAATAACTTCCAAATCTTCTTCTTATAGTACTCACCTCTCTGCTAAGATCTAGTCTCATGTTCCCAAAACTCTTTACTTTGCCCTCCCCTGAAAATAAATTTCTCCAGTATTTTCTGTTTCAGTTAATGAACTTCAACACACTCTTTTTTACCTTTCATATTTACTTTGGCACCAATTTCTGCTGTGTCTACTGCCTAAATGTCTTGATTCCATTCGTCCCATCCTTTCTAGTTAGCTCTATTACACTAAGTCCTCATCATGCCTCATCTGGACTATCTCAATAATTATAACACTATTCTATCTGCCTTTATTTCTCCTGAGTTTGTCTTTCCTAACTGCCATCAGACCTAAAACAAATCAAACATGAAACATAAATATTACTTCCTCATATAAAATCTCTCATATGAGGCCTATCCCTGGCCCTGTCCCACTGTTCTAGTGTCATTTCCTCACACAGTCCTTCTTCTTTGAACATGTTCCTGCCTTTTAGTGCACTGCCAAACTTTTGTTAATTCCTGAAGTCCAGCCTAAACATTACCCCCATTATAAAGCTCGAACTGGCTTCTTTCTTCCATTGTTTCTTTATTTTCTCCTTCTATTTGGTTTTCATAGTACTTAATCCATACCTTTGTTAGAGTTCTTAACCATCTAGGTGTTATAATTGTTTCATAAATTTATTTTCTACCTCCTCTCTGCCCTCTCTCCCAAATTTCCTAAGATATGGATAGTGTCTTGTTCATCTTCATATCCTCATCTCTTCCACAAACTCACACAGATGTCTGCTATAAAGTTCTCCATAAATACTTAGGGAAAATGAGCTGAAGCAATTTAATAGATTGATAAAATAATAGGAATAAAGTAAAAGCTGGTCTGGTCAGGTCAGGAATGTACAGGAAAAATTCAGATATACTCTGATCTACTTTAAGCCCTAGATAAAAAGCGTTTCTCCTAATCCAGTGCCAAATCTAACCAGTTTCATAGAAAATGATGGCCCTCATGATGGGTCCTGCCCACCTCCTCTCACTGGCACCGCCTTCTCCTCTCCTGGAATCTCATGACCAAACTCTAACCTTTGCTCTAAAAACTCACTTCCCTCAAGTTTAATTACAATTAAGACTGGAAATCTTTAGTGATGGTAGAAAGAGAATGTATACTATTGCTAATTGTAGAATTTTAAATTCATGTTCTATCATTCTAGCCATAAGAATTATCATTCATAAGCTGGCCTACAAATATGTACAGGATAAAAATCAATGAATACAAGAAACTCATTGCCCAAAAATAGTTTTTGGCCCAGCTGTCATAAAACCTAAAATTTCACTGATGAAGATTCATCGCTTTGGGTTGAGCACTATGTACTTCTATTATTTATAGGACAAACTTCTCTCAATAGTTTCACCAAGGACCATTTCCATTCTCCATTTATTCAAGCA